TGGTTAAATGAACGGACACATTTGCCAAAACTCATCAAATCATGCACTTCAAACTGGTTAATTTTGTTACATAAATTTTACCTCATAAAAAGTGAAGAGAACAATATAATAACCCCATGTATCCATCATCTAACTTTTACAACTGTTCGCTAATCTTAAAACAAGCAATTTGATTCATTTCCTATTTCACAGCGTAAAAGGGAAATAGGCTGCCCTGGAGTGAGTGTTTGCTGTGTTTAGATTGTTAATGAAATAAAACTAGGTAATGTGGAGTTCTAATAAAAGTGTAGTTCACTTTTATTACAGAGCAGTCAAATATCTTTTATTTTTAATAAACAAAATTTCAGAAAAGTTGCAAGTATAGTACAAAGAAGTTTTTTTCTCAACCATTTGATACTAAGTTGCCAGCATGATTCCCCACCATCAGGGAATACTTTACTGCTTTAGTGTGTTATCTACATACAAGAACATTCTCCTACATAACCACAATACAACCATTAAAATCAAAAAATTAACACTGACATGTTACTACTCTCTAATCCTCATAGCCCATTCAAATTTCACCACTTGTACCCAGAAAGTCCTTTATAGCAAAAGGGCCAGTTTAGAATTGTGCATGACATTTAGTCCTCCTATTTTATTAGTGTCCTTCAATCTGGAAAATTTCCTCAATCTTTTATTCACTTTTATGACTTCAACACTTGTGAAGATTATAGGCCAGTTGTTTTGTAAAATGTCCCACAATTTGTGATTTCTTCATTATTAGGTACAGATTATGCATATTTGTCAGGAATATATCAGAAATAATACTGTGGCCGTCTCATTGCCTCCTGTCAGGAAGCACATGACTTGTGACAATACTGACGATGTTCACTTTGGTCTCTTAATTAAGATGTCTCTTCTAGGCTCCCCCATGGTAGACTTATTTTTTTCCCTTGTAATTAATAAATATTTTGTGGAAGGTACTTTAAGACTCTGAAAATACCTTGTTCCTTATCACTTTCAAGTTACTGATTTTTTTTGTTTGTTTGAGACAGTGTCTTGCTCTGTCGTCCCTGGTTAGAATTCAGTGGCGGCATCCTAGCTCAGTGCATCCTCAAACTCCTGGGCTCAAGCGATCCTCTCTCCTCCACATCCCAGAGTGCTAGGATTACAGGTGTGAGCCACTGTGCTCGGCATGATTTGTTTTTTCATTTTAGTATGGGTTCCTGGTTTTCTATTTTTTTTTAATTTAATAGGTTATAATTCATTACTAACATTATTTATTTTGATGCTCAAATTTCCTGAGATTTGGCCAGTAAGAGCCTTTTCAAGCAGGTTTTGTGCCTATTTAACATTTCCTCACAATTCTTTGAATACTTTCTTACCTTCTGGCACAGGATGTTTCAGGCTTATCTTTTATAGAATCAAGTACTTTTTAAGAAAAGATCCAAGTTCTGAAGTATGATTTTGGCTTTATATGGTGAAAAATGTATGGCTTCTGTGGAGACATTTTATTGCCCAACCTAATTTTATGGCATTTCCAGTTTCAACTAGCATTTATTAAGCATTTCTGAACCAAACAGTAGGAGGATCTATATTGCATGAGGAAAATTAAATATGGGTGTCAGATATGAGCCGGGTAAATTCACTTAGTGTCACTGTAACAGGATGTATCTTCTAAGAAAAAGATCTAAACCTGAGTTTTCCTAAAAGTTAATAGGTTTATATAAATTATCCTGCTTCTTATAGAAGCCAAGTCTACTGTTTCTGGAGTATATTCAATATATAGTCATTAAGAAGTAAAATACCCTATGTCTACATGGTAGAGACGTAGATATATAATAGAAAGTGGATATGTAATCCCTTTTCTCAAAACATTGGATATTTAAATGAGTAACCTAAATAAAATAACCGTGCAGGCCTTAAAGGTGACTTTGGAATAAGACATGGATTTGTATTTTAGCTCTGTCACCAACTACTTTGAACAAGCTTCTTAACTTCTTTAAAACTTGTATATCATTATCTATAAAATTAGAATGTCATCTACTTACATGGATCTTATTAAGATTAGATAAACTGTTAGCACAGTGCTTAGTATGTAGAAGGCACTCAATAAACCTAAGTTCCTTCTTTCTGTGTTATGGGGTATGGTGGTAATGAGAGGTTGGTCTAAGAGTGCCTGTAAACTCTAATTTTCTCATGTGTTTTTAAAAAAGGATAATATACATCTCACAGATTAGTTTTGAGGACTAAGTGAAATAATGTGAAGAGTACTTTATAAATTGCTATCGTAATGCTGCGTGCTCTTATTAATTTGTATTGAGAAAATTTTATTGAGGAAAGTTTTAGAGGAGAGACAGACTTTGAAATTTTATTTAAATTAAGGGAGTAACACTGAAAATGTTCATTCAAATCTTACATATTGGATATAGATTCTAGTAACTACTTTCTGTAATCACTTTGTACTTGTGTTTCATGTTTTATAAGTAAATGTGGCATTTAGGTGTAGAATAAATTGTGTATTGGAGCTTAGGAAGTGTCAGATCATTTTGAGCTCATTGCTTTTTTTGAATCTACAAACATTAGCAAGGAAAATGACTTATTTTCTTCTTCCAAACAGCAGTAGGAATAAATAGTAATACTATGGTAACTGTAGACCATAGTGTTAATGATTGTTTGGGTATCAGACTTCAGCTTTGTTTGCTTATTTCCTATTGATAAATGGAAATATTAATGGTATTAATAGTATAGTTTTGAACATATTTTAGGTTAGACGTTCAAGAACTAGTCTTAGCTAATTTATTTTTAAAAATTATTTATCGGAGTAAACAGCCACACTGGATAATTTATTTATCTGCTATGGGAAGATGCTCACGTAGTCTCTTCGAGCGATATGATACGACTTTTGAGAAATAT